TTACATTCAAGAGGAATTAAGCATCTCTCTCTCTTTTTTTTAATGTTTATTTACTTTTGAGAGACAGAGAGACAGAAGGTGAGCAGGGGAGAGACAGAGAGGGAAGGAGACACAGAATCAGAAGCAGGCTCCAGGCTCTGAGCTGTCAGTGCAGAGCCCAATGCAGGGCTCGAACCCACGAATCCTGAGATCATGACCTGAGCCAAATCCGCACGCTTAACTGACTAAGCCATCCAGGCACCCCAAGCATGTGACTCTTGATTTCACCTCAGGTCATGATCTCACGGTTATTGAGTTTGAGCCCCGCGATAGGCTCTCTGTTGAAAGTGCAGAGCCTGTTTGGGTACTTTATCTCCCTCTCTATCCCTGCTCTTCTGAGGCTTTACTCTCTTTCTCAAAAATAAATAAGCATTAAAAAAAAGAGAGAGAGAGAATTGACTTTCACCTCTTCCTGGCCTCGTCAAAGGCCCTTACTACTGAACAAGACTATTTAGGATTTCCCAGATTCCCAAGGAAATAAATGCATTGGTACACATGCTCTACCCCTACAATGTCCCCAAAGCAAGAAAACGAATTTTTCCTCACATATTCAGTTTTGAATAAGGTGGCTAACCATTTCAAACTGGAGATTGCAACCTGTTAGAAGACTGTGAAATCAATTTTGAGGGTCACAAGCAGCATTTTAAAACATGAACTAGGCTACAGCAGAACTTAATTGAATTGAAAGTTCCAGCAACCATGGGGCGCCTGGGTGGCTTAGTTGGTTAAGCGGCCGACTTTCGCTTGGGTCATGATCTCGCGTTCGTGGGTTCGAGCCCCACGTCGAGCTCTGTGCTGACTGCCAGCTCAGAGCCTGAAGCCTGTTTCAGAGTCTGTGATTCCTTCTCTCTCTGACCCTCCCCTGCTCACGCTGTCTCTCTCCTAGAAATAAATAAAAACATTAAAAAAAAAAAAAGAAAGTTCTAGCAACCACACGAATCCTTATTCAAGGCTAGCGTGCAGGAGGGGGAGCTGATAGATGAGCAGTTACCGCGTTGGAATTCCTGGGTTAAATTGTTGGACAGATAACATTGTACAACCTAATTTTATCTATCACAACTACCTGTGATTTATGAAGTGAAGTACAGGAGAAACTTCATTTGCTGACAGAAAGACTAGAATTTTCAACTGAGTTCCAATGAAGAACTTAAAGTCTGTTTTGGGGGAAAGGTATGTCATCACGTATGATGTGTGTGTGTGTGTGTGTGTGTGATACATATCATGTGTGTGTACTACTTATTAATCAAATTAGTATAAATTGTTCTCAAAGAAGTTGCTTTGTTATTAGAAGAAATAATAAAGTGAAAAATATAGAGGCACCTGGGTGGCTCAGTCAGTTAAGCATCTGACTTTGGTTCAGGTGTGATCTCACAGTTGGTGAGCTCGAGCCCCACTTTGGGTGAGCCCCGCTTCTCTTTCTCTCTCTCTCTGTGCCCTGCATGGGGCTCTCTCTCTTTAAGTCTCTCTCTCTGCCCCTTGCCCACTTTCACCCTCTGTCTCAAAAAAAAAAAAAGAAAAAGAAAAAAAAAAAAAGAAAAAAATGAAAAAAAGAAAGAAAATACAGAAATTGTGTTCAAGTTTATTTTTTTCTAATTTTTAAAGTTTATTTATTTTGAGAGAGAGGGTGAGAGCAGGGGAGGGGCGGGGGGGGGGAAGAGAGAGCGAGAGAGGAGAGAGAGAATCCGAAGCGGGCTCAGTGCTCTTAGCACAGAGGCTGATGCAGGGCTCCATCTGACGAATTGTGAGATCAAGACCTAAGCCAAGGGACGCCTGGGTGGCTCAGTTTGTTAAGCGTCCGACTTCGGCTCAGGTCATGATCTCACAGTTTGTGGGTTTGAGCCCCGCGTAGGGCTCTATGCTGACAGCTAGCTCAGAACCTGGACCCTGCTTTGGATTCTGTGTCTCCCTCTCTCTCTGACCCTCCCCTGCTCATGCTGTCTGTCTGTCTCTCTCTCTCTCTCAGAAATAAATAAAACATTTTTTTTAAAAATTAGAGAAAAAGAAACTTTGAAAAAAAAAAGACCTGAGCCAAAATCAAGAGTGGAAGGCTCAACCGACTGAGCAACTCAGGTGCCCCCATGTTAAAGTTCAGCTGTTAGATTTGGAAGTGCAGTGAAAATATTGAGGAAAAAAAAGTTATTCAGAAGTAAAAGGACATTTGAAAATACAGCATGATCAACTTGTCAATAAGCCCCCAAAAGATGTTCTTAAGGAAAAGAGCATAAAGTTATTGGCACAATTTCTCAGTTGCTTCACAAATATTAACGAGAAACACAATCTTTGTGTTTAGTTGTGGCAAAAGAGAAATGGCTTAGCACTAAGTGCTAAAAAGCTGCTTCATCCAATATGTTGGTGCATATGTTTTTGGTGGCAAAGAAGCTGATAAATTCAAAGCTATATTTCCTGGCAATAACACAATATCAACTCAGTTAGCACAGAACATTAAGAAGAATCAATGATTCTTATGCAGTAACAGTCCAACTTGATAATACTTTTATGCCAGATATGTGTAGCAAGAGAATTTTATAGAGGAGTTATTGTCTGTATGGAGAAAATATACTCATAACTAGGAACCAGCATTTAAGTCACTAAAAAAAATTAGACAATTTATAATGGAATTGCAAGTGATGGGACAACAAATATAATCAGGAAACCATAAAGATATAAAAATTATTGAAAACTAAAACCAGAAGATAATTTGCAATATTAAATGAAAACAATTATATAGAAGATTCATTTGGTTTTCAAAACCTTAAATAATTTTATTAAAGTTGATGTCTATGAAGAGAATAAATTATTGTGGATTAGTACCTCATTTACACAGAAAAATGATTGCCATTCATGAAATCAATCATCATGTTGGATTAAGATTAATGAATTTATTGCAAAGAAGAAAGCGGATCCGCATTAGTATTCATAATGCCTATGTTTATGAACTAGGATATTCAGTTTTGACTTATTTAAAAAATAAACTTGAAGATGAGGCTCAATGGTAGATTAGATATACCCTCATGCACTGTGGACTAGAATAAACCAATAAACAAAGATTTCCATAAAATAAAATCTTGATTTGCTTCTGTAGTATTTATATTAAGACTGGTTTCCACATTGTATTATAAAATATTTACATTGTATTAATTTTGTTCTTTATTTTACACAATAAGGAAACTTTTGTGAAACTTGTATTTCACCTATGTATCTGTGTGTATATTGGGCTTCAGTGTAGAATCTATTTCTCACTGTGAGATGTGAGAAAAGTTAGGAAAACAATGTGTTAGAAGTTAGAAGATTGTTTGAAGAGTAACACTCTTACAGAACAATTCAGCCCACAGACCACCAGTTTGCGGGTGAGCTAAGTTGTGAAAGATGTTGAATATGAGTTAACCATAGAACTTACTTTGTAGGTAAATTGTAGCCAGGACAAATAATGATGTAATAAAAAGATGTTTTGTTTTTTTTAAATGTTTTATTTATTTCTAGGACAGAGAGAGAGAGAGAGAGAGACAGCGTGAGCAGGGGAGGGTCAGAGAGAGAGAGAGAGAGAGAGAGAGAGGGAGATACAGACTCTCAAATAGGCTCCAGGCTCTGAGCCGGCAGTCAGCACAGAGCCCGACGCGGGGCTCGAACCCACGAACCGCGAGATCATGACCTAAGCGAAAGTCGGACGCTTACCCGACTAAGCCACCCAGGCGCCCCATAAAAAGATGTTTTAGAAGCATTAATATAGTCCCACTGCAAGACTGAAAGGAAGACAGTCTGAGGACAGGAAGGTCACTTAAGTGCTACTAAAACAATCTAGAAATGAGACCACTAATGTAGAATCAGAATGAGCGCCATTGGAGTGAAGACAATGGAGGTAAAACAGAGTGCCAAGGAAAACTGACACCAATTTAGAGCTGGGAGGGAACCATCCATTCCATTACTATCTTCATACAATTAGTCAAAGTAACAGAGTGAAAAGCTGAGAATTTGTGTATGACGTTATACTGACTCAATCAAACGGTCGCGAATACGTGTTAACACTGTTAATCCGGTTAATGGATTTAACAGAAGGCGTGAATTCGCTTCAAGATTTGGGAGTTGGCGGGGGGGTGGGGGGGGAGCTCATATTCGCTTTCTATTTAGTGGATTAAAATGGACAGTAATTCTCATCCTTTTAAACCTGGATTCCACCTAGTTTATCACATGTGTGCCTACAAGGCGTTCCCAAACAAGGCTGCCCTCCACCCCGAAACGGGTCATTTAGCATTCTACTTTTAGAGAGTACGTTCTCGAAAATACCACCAGATCCTCTAGAGAAGTTTTCTAGGAATCTCCACAGTTCAGGCTTTATGCACGAGCCCAGGACTGTTCATTTACCCAACTGCAAAACGTTACTGCTCATTTTACGACCGTGCCACACACAATCCCCGCCGTGGCCGGGCGAGGAAACCAGCAGTCGGCCGAGGACTGGGAGGCCTGCGGGAGTCAGTGTTGCGCCCTGCGGAGGGAAGCCGCAGGGCGAGCCCGCCTCGAGTTAGCCATTTCCTTTCTTCCCTCGGTATTTCGGGCGGCGGGGCGCCGGGCAGGCAGGCACTGCGGCCGATCCTCGAGTCCCTCAACCCTTTCTTCGTGTCCGCCTTGACAACCCCAACTCTTTAGAGCCGAGTGCCGGAGGAATGGGCCGGACGGGACGCAGCGCCATGATTAGGTCGGTCCCAGGCACATCCCGACGCTCGCGCCTGGCTGAGCCCCACGCGCGCCTCTGGTTTCCGGGTGCAAATAGGAAGCTAGGGAAACCCCAGACCCCACCCTTTTAGGAAGGGCGCAGACGGCGTCTCCGTTTCCAAGGGAACCGGCCCTGCCACTGCGTCACTTCCGCTGACCTGTCTGGACTCCAGACTGTTGGGAGGAAAAGAGGAAAACTGAGCCACAGCCACGACGGTGGACGCGAGCGTCTCCTGTCTGCGCATGCGCCCGCTCAGCGGCCTGCTTCTATTTATGTGGGGTATCCAACATGGCGGCTGCGGCGACCCTGGCGATGGCGGTGGAGCCCATCAGAACATAGTGGCTGGGAAGGGGGCACGGTCCGCACTCACGGTGGCGTCGGCAGAGACGACTGAGGGTGGTGGAGGGAAGAAAAGCGACGGAAAGCAGAAGGAAGGGCGGGCAGGCAAACAACTCGGCGTAGAACCGAGCGCCGGCTCGAGCGAAGGCAGAGGGCCAGAACAGTGGGGATGGCGGAGCCACGCAGAGTAGCGTTTATTAGCCTGTCACCGGTGAGGCGGCGCGAGGCCGACTACGCGGGGGCCGAACGCGAGCCCGAGTACCCTCGCGAGCCCCCCCGGCTGGAGCCGCAGCCGTACCGCGAGCCGGCCCGGGCGGAGCAGCCGGCCCCGCGGGAGGCTGCCCCCCGGTCGGACGCGCAGCCCCCGCCGCGGGAGAAGCCGCTCCCCCAGCGCGAGGTCAGCCGCGCCGAGCCGCCCATGTCGCTGCAGCGCGAGCCCCCGCGGCCCGAGCCGCCGCCGCCGCCGCCGCTCCCTCAGCTGCACTTGCAGCCGCCCCCGCCGCGGGAGTCGGCTTCCCGGGCCGAGCCGCCGCAGAGGCCGCCGAGGGAGACGGTGCGCCTGGAGCTGGTGCTCAAGGATCCCACCGACGAGAGCTGCGTGGAGTTCAGTTACCCGGAGCTGCTGCTGTGCGGAGAACAACGGGTACAGAAGATTCCTCCCTCACCCCCCAGACCCTGGGAGCCTCAGGACGCATCCGCCTCTCCCAGTGGTTGGCACCTTCCGACGCCCACTTTGCGCGTCTCGGGTCGCCTGGGAGGGTGGGTGGAGGGGGCAAGGGCCGAGAGGGTGGGCGCGTGGTCGGTGCTGCTTTCCCCCGCTCCCCAGGGTTGGCCAAGGCTCCCACCCGGCTCCACCGACCCCCCTCGTACGCCCGCTCCGAATGCGGCTCGGAGCTGGTTTTCCTCTGCAGCTTTCGAGACCTCGGAATTGATTTTCCTTTCTGCTCCGCGTACAAAATCTGGGAGCTCTGCAAGTTACGCGGTTGGGTTTTCCTTGTGGAGCGCCGGCGGTCGTTCCCGTAGAAAGGGAGAGAAAACCTTGGGGGACACGCCCCCCAGTCGGAAGCAGAGAGTGTGACCCCTCCATATCATCCTCTTCACTATACGTTTGGCGCTGAGTTGTGCTTGCGAACGTTGGGTATTTCTCTTCGTTGAAGGGGATTTGAAAAGTAAGATGAAAAATTTCAGACTAAGGATTCCGCTCTAGGAATGAAGAAATGGGTTATTTGGTTACTTATTTTCCTCTCTCATCTTGGTATTGGTGTTCTATTTAGCTTTGTTTTCTGTAGAGCTTGTTCTTAGTGTAATTGAATGGGAAGGTGTCTTTGGCGCCTACCATCGTACTTGTATTTGAGTGTTTATCATTAGTTTATAGGTCCGACTTGGAGGATGGCGTTTGGCCATGGGGATTTTTGGAGAACAATGAAAAACATCTTAGCTTTGAATTTTTAGAAACCGTTGAAAATACGTAGGTATGGCTTTGATGGAACTGGTGAACCGCGGAGATAGAGAGGTTTGTTGGTAACTGTAATTTTTATTATAGGTTTTGTTGATCTTTAGAAGTAAACTAGAAAGGGAAATGATAGAGTAACAGCAGTAAGAGAACAATTTCCTCTGTCCTTTAGAGATTATGCTCTTTATTAGGTTTTGCTTTATTTAGTACAGGCTTAATGGACTCAAGTCATTTGTTTTTGTTCTCAACTACCTTTATAGTTGAAACGAATGACTCTTTAAAAATATATTGTCACTTGATTTTGTTTTTTTTAAGGCCAACAAATCTTTTCATCATTATTTGTAAATATTGTTGTGTGGTCAAATCACTTTAGGTGTTTGCAACCAACGTGAACTGGCAAGGGTAGAGATCCTATTGGCCATTTCTGCAAAACATTTTATCCTTCAGACTTACTATAGCACCCCTCCTTTTTATAAATATGATGTTTCTTTTTTCCAAAATAATTTTGAAAATATTGGATTGGAGCGTTTTTTCAAGTAAATTGTATTTGATCTTCTCATCTAAGTAAGTTTGCAGTTTGACTCCCTAATCTACTTCATAAATTACAGATGAAAAGCATCATATTTGGGTAAAAATATATTAGGGTAGCTAATATTCACTGACTTCTTCCTATGTGCATGCTAGACACAGGTCTAAGTAAGGTGTATGGCTTATGGAATTCAGTCCAGCAGACCTAGGCGAGGTAGGAATCATTATCCCCACTTTGCAAGTGAGGACGCAGATGCAAAGTGCTTGTATGTAGTTCTATTAGTACTTCTTTCCATGCTAGTACTACTTCTTAGTAAAACAATACTTCAATTTAACAAAATTTAGAGGCTCCTGCCAAAATGAACTAAAATGAGAGTTATAGTAGAAATAGGGATTTGTTATGATTCTCTTAATGCTATGATATTCATTCCATGATAAATTAATAAGATATATATCTTTTAATTATGAGCCCAACAAGTTAATTTTAACTCCTTACTTTCCTTGTTCACCTGATGATATCAGAACTACTAGTTTCATGTAATAGGTGAAAGATGAATAATTCAGTTTAATTTTTCTGTTTATGCTATCAATTTAGGGATATATTGATCAATTTTTCTTGTATATTCAGCCATGTATCATTTGTTGTATTCTGAACCAAAAGACCCACGGTTTATACAATGCACCTTTGCAACCAAGATTTGCCAGATTGACCTCTGAGTACTCCCAATGGACGTATTTATTAAAGGAATTGTAGAAAACATTTCTTTAAATGAGGTTGTCATATTTCCGTGAAAGGAAATCCTCGTAATAGAAACCAACAAAAAAAGCAAAATGAAACCAATAGAGTTGGTCTGCAAGGTAGTGATGCCCAAATTTGGTTTTTCTTCCCCTCAGGGAGAGTCCAGTTGTTTTTAAGGATGTTAAAATCTTTTCAAAATAGTTTTAATGTTGAGTTGTTGTAATTGAAAAACTTACTGTGTAGCAGACTTTGCATAGAAAGGGGAGGAAAAGACATCGTGTGAAATGAAAAGAAAAATGGATTCTAAATTTTGAAGTAGCCGTCTATCACTGAATAAGAGTTTAGTTAATAGGTGTAGGTATAAATCTGTGTCGCATGTGAATGCCATCTCTATTGGGATGCATTTAAATCATTTCCCTTCATAAATACAAAATGAATAGTAAAGCCCCAATTAACTGAATGCAATCAGAATTTTTTGCAAACTCTTTTTATTAATGAGGCAAAGCACAATTAAATGAGTATATGTTGGCAAAATATGAAAAACAAAACCCTTCTTGTTAGGTTGTAAGGACACAGGTTAGCTAAACCCTTAACCTTGTTATCTCTGTAGACTCCTAAGCCCTGATTGAGGTGGTTCGGGATGATGACTGAGGCACTGCAGTTCTGTCCTCAAAGATTAATGTGTTCACCATTTCATGTGTTCACCATTTCATGTGTTCACCATTTCTGGCTAAATGATGTAAGTTCGCAGTTCTGGCAGTAATTGCTATGCAAGTAATTTTTGTTTAACTTTTAGTAAACCGGAGAATCAACTAACTAGAGCATCCATTTGTGAATGTGATTAATTGGACATTTAGTATATAAAAAGGAAAAGAGGGGTGCCTAGGTGGCTAGGTCAGTTAAGTGTCCAACTCTTGGTATCTGCTTCTGTCATGATCTCATGGTTGGTGGGGTTCGAGCCCCACATTGGGCCGGTGCTGACAGGTGGAGCCTGCTTGGGAGTCTTTTTCTCTCTCCTCTTTCTGCCCCCTACTCTGTGCACTCACTCGCTCTCTATCTCTCTCTGTCTCTCTCTCCCTTTCTCCCTCTTTCAAAATGGATAAAGTAAACTTAAAAAGAAAAAAATAATTAAACTGTTAATCTGGTTATACTTTTACAGAATTCTGTGGTATTCCATTGTCATATTGCATATTTTCAATAACATGTGCAAGATCTGAAAATGGTGTTAATGAGTTAACGTCAAAGGATAACATTATTACAATGTTTATGTCTGTGGGTAGTTGGTAATTTTGATATTTACTGGTTTTCAAATCCTTTTTCATCTGAAAAACATAAGGCTTACTTAGAGCCCTGATTGTGGGTAGGGGTTTAGTTCCTAACTATAAAAGGAAAGTGTAAGAGATTTATTTTTGATGCCTCTATGATGTCTACACAAAATATTATGAAATGGCATATAAGGTGATTCTTATTAAAAAAAAATACAGTGTCCGTGTGTTTACATTTCACGTATAAAATGGGTCAGACCAGTAGTAAGACCTAGTATTTGGACTTTGCAGTGAAATGAAGCAACAGTTCATAATGGCAAGTCATGGTGGTTGTGCTCTGTGCTTAGGCTCAAGTTGAGGCTACATCTTGGATGTGCTTCATGTTTCTTATTTCATTATCAGTTTCTTCCTGCTGGCTTATTTATTCCTTTCAGGTCATATGTATTTTTTCCACTGATAACTCCTATTGGGATAAAGGATTCTGTAAATATATTACTTATCACAATAGATAATTTAAAAAATTGATTCTGAGATTACTTCTTTAAGCTTTAAGAGCATCCTTTATTCTTTTTTTTTTTTTTTAAGGTTTTTTTTATTTATTTCTAGAGAGAGAGAGAGCGTGAGCAGGGGAGGGTCAGAGAGAGAGGGAGACACAGACTCTGAAATAGGCTCCAGGCTCTGAGCTGGCAGTCAGCACAGAGCCCGAAGCGGAGCTCGAACCCACGAACAGCGAGATCATGACCTAAGCGAAAGTCGGACGCCTAACCGACTAAGCCACCCAGGCACCCCGAGCATCCTTTATTCTTATGCCCTAGGTCTGATGAATTATTTTGTATTAACTCTGTTCATATTTTTCTGTCATATTTTTAGATTGATCATATCTCAGCCTTTATATCCAAGGTGAACTATCTGTGTTCCAAAGTGTGCAAATCTTTGTCCCTTCTGAATTTTTTTCTTCAGGTTCAGCTGAATCTGTATCTAGTATTTCAGTTGTAATATACTTTATCTTTAATTCTTGAAGATACTACCTCAGTAAAAATATCTAGCCTTTCTTTTTTAAAAATTAACTTTCTAGTGAGTTGGCCATGATTGGATACAAGTAGAATTTTGATTTCATATGCAGCTCCTTGTTTCCCTTTTTTATACTGAAAAACTATATATATATATGTATGTGTATATATATATGTGTGTGTGTGTATATATATATATATATACATATGAAACATGCCTGCTAAAATAGTAAACCTGAGTAAAGGATATGATTTATCTTTTTGTTTGTTTTGGTAAATGGATGGTAAATGTGGGATCTTACCTGTTTGTGTGGTTTTTTTAAACCATGAATTATAATAAACTTTGATTCTCCCCTGCTGGAAGGAAGCCATGGTACTGTAATCTACTTGCAGCTGCTTCACTTTTCTAGCTTTGTTTAAAAGTAGTATGTATTCCCCGAATGAATATCCATTGATAAGAAGTAGGTGATGTTGGGCGCCTGGGTCGCTCAGTTGTTGAGTGTTTGACTTCAGCTCAGGTCATGATCTTGTGGTTCATGGGTTCGAGCCCTGCGTCAGGCTTCATGCTCACAGCTCAGAGCCTGGAGCCTGCTTGGATTCTGTGTCTCCCTCTCTCTCTGCCCCTCCCCCTGCTTACGCTTTGTCTCTCTCTCAAAAATAAATAAACATTAAACAAATTAAGCAAACAAACAAAAGTAGGTGATGTGGAGAGAGGCGTTGATGCCGGGTCTCAGCAGAAGGCTTTAGCGGCTGCAGATACTCTAGTGAGAGCGCAGGGCGGATGAACCAGTGGTGCCGCTGATGAATAACCGAGTGACCCTCGGAGAAGTGTTTCCTCACCAGAGCAGTTATCTTTGTTGGGAAGATCTCAGACTAGAGTGATAAGTGGGATTTTCATTTTACCCTAATTTTCTTGGGGGATTTTTGGCCTTTTTATTTTGGACAGGGTGGCCATAGATCCTTCTGTAGGAAGAAATGAGTTGAATTGTTGAGTTCTTCACCACCAAAAACCTTAAGAATGTGTAAGAATCCATTAAAATTGCAAGTGTTTTTTTTTTTTTTTTTTTTGCTACAGATGAACATTTCTTTCTGCTTACTTTTAATGCTTCTAACTTATTTGTTAATATTTGGAAATTTTGACTCTAATTATTAAATTTAAGGATGTATTCGGCTCTGGTTGAAGTAATACTAATACTTTTATTTCTTTTCCCATTTTCTTTGAATCAGAAGAAGCCCATTCACACAGAAGACCCATTTAATGATGAGCAGCAAGAGAGGCAAGAAGTGGAAATGTTGGCTAAGAAGTTTGAAATGAAATATGTGAGTGTAATATACTCTTCACTTAGGTCATTTTACCCTGTTGGCCTTTTTTTCTCCTGTGACTCGTTGGGTGCTTATGATACCCACTGCAAACCTTATTTTGCTCTTATAAATTGAATCCAGGTAAATGATTTGATAAGATTCTGATAGGTTTGTGATGGCTGTAGTAGTAGCTGTCGTTTATTGCACTCCTTGTGGAGACCAGGTGCCTTAACATACATCATCTCCCATCCTTATAATAAAACTGCTAAGTATTGCCAAGTGCATTTTACACATGAAGAAACTGAGGCTCTGAGCTCAAGATCACACCATGGCAGGAACTAAGCTGTATATCCAGGTCTGTCTCGCTCTGATCCTTTGACTTCCCACTGCCATTGATAAGGCCACTTTAATTCCCAAGTCTTCATGCCTCTTTAGAGTTTAAGAGAATGAATGTGTGTGCTTGTAGGCCCCGGGACTTAGAATCAAACAGAAGCAGCATGAAATTGCTTTGAAAGTCTCTTATTCACCTGAAATATTCATGTACATTTTATATTCTGCACCATGAATAGATTGGTATTTGGTTTAACATAAAAATAAATTCTAGTTACCTGATGGTGAAGTTGCTTGACATTTTCCTTAAGTTTTCTAGTAACTGGGTTTGTAGGAAAGCCCTCTCCCCTCCCCAAGTTTATCCCATGGCCTTTCTTCATGGCATTTTGCTAAAACATAACTCATGAAAAGCAAGACCCCTTCTGGTTCCTGTGTAAGCACTGAAAGCTGTGTCACCGAGATGGGAGGTCAGGTGGTACTAGGCCTGTCATTCATGTTATCCAGATGCAGCTAGGGTCTTGCGTGACACCAGGAGGCTCCTTGTGCTAGTGGAGAATCCCCTTGGGGTGGGGGATATATGAGAGTACTTTGGGATGGGTGTCGGGTTGTAGGCCATACTTTGCCACCTAAAAATTGTCCTTTGGTCAGGTTATTTAACCTTTTTGGGCCACAGTTTTCTTTCTTTGAAGATTTTTCAAAGCTCCTTCTGGCTTTATATTCTGTAATTATAGGATAATTTGGGGATGGACTGGTGGGTGTTTTGAATGAAAGAATAGCAAAAGTTGTTACTTAAATTGTTCAATGAAAACACAGTTTTCTCATATATCCTGACATACTATGGCTTGATTTTTATTTTTAAGTAATCTCTGTACCCAAAGTAGGACTTGAACTCATGACCCTGAGATCAAGAGTCACATGCTTTACTGACTGTGCCAGCCAGGTGCCCCTACGGCTTGTTTTGTTTTGTTTTGTTTTGTTTTTTTGAGAGAGAGCGTGTTAGCAGGGGAGAGGAGCATAAGGAGAGAGAGAGAGGAGAGAGAGAATCCTAAGCAGGCTCCATGCTGGGCTTGATCCCACATCCTGGGATCATGACCTGAACCAAAATTAAGAGTCAGACACTCAACTGACTGAGCCACCTGGGGACCCCCTATGGCTTTTTTTTTTTTTATCAAGTTGATACATTAGTTAAATTTAATGTTTTAACCAGGCAATGTATTTACATGGTTCAGAACTCAAAAATTATAGAGTGAAAAATCTTTCATTTTGTTGTTCACCCACATAATCTCACTTCCTAGAGGCACATAATGCTTTGGGGGGGTACCTCCAGAGGTATTTTATGTATATCTCTGTATGTATATGTATATATATATATATTTATTACCCCCACATCTCTTTTTACACATATTACAGAATATACAGTTTTGTTCTTTGCTTTTTCATTTACTCTAACTTGGAGATTTTTTTCATATGAGTACAAAGAGAGCTTTCTTATCTCTATCTCTGTGTCTTTTTTTTTTTTTTTTTTTAAGGGCTGCATGATATTCCATTGTATGGACATATCACAGTTTATTTAACCAGTCCCCAAACGATTTAAATTGTTTCCAAAAATTTGCTCTTGTAAATAGTGCTACAGTAAATTACTTAGTAGTGTGGCATTTCAAGAGTTGCCAGTTTATCTATGGGACAGATTCTTAGAAGTGGAATTTTTAGGTCAAAAGATGTATGCATTTATTTAGTTTATTTAGTTTGGGTATATATTAACCAAATTACCAGTTTCTAAATTACGAGTATACCAGTTTCCATTCCTACAACACTCCTTTGGAGGGCCTATTTTTCTTAGGTTATAAAACTAAGAATTAGAATTGCCCTATGCAAATGGGAAAAGTTCCTAGCATATGATCCTGTAAGTAATGTGACTCAGTGTATGATGTACTGCCTCAGAGTTAGCATTAAATCTAATCGGAGAGCCCTTGGATAGTACTTGCCATGGCTTGCCATGGAAAAACCAATATTCTGAAGAAGTTGGTCGATGTATAAAATTAAGTTCCAAATAACTGGGCTATACCAAGGCACTGTAATTGTGCAGGGATAAAATGTTACTCCTGTTATAATTCAAATTAATGGGCTATATTTCTTCTCTAGACTTTTATTTTGGCTACTTACTCTCTTATTTCCTTTCTAAGTTGAGATTTAAAATGTACTGCTTCATTAGAGCTTTATGTGCCATGAGTATTATGGGTGTTAAATATGTATGTATTAACAAATTATTTGGATCCTTTTAATTAAGAAAATCATCAGGTTAAAAGTGATGAGAGAAGATTCTTTATCCATCTCTAGGCTCTGGGCTGTCACAAAAGATCATTTCAAAACAGCAAAGATTTTGGGCACCTGGGTGGCTCAGTCAGTTAAGCGCTGAATTTTGGCTCAGGTCATGATCTCACAGATGTGAGTTTGAGCCCTGCGTCAGGCTCTGTGCTGACAGCTCAGAGCCTGGAGCATGCTTTGGATTCCGTGTCTCCCTCTCTTTCTGCCCCTGCCCTGCTCATACACTTTCTCTCTGAAAAATAACTGTTAAAAAATTTTTTTTAAATTAAAAATTAACATAAGTGTTAAAAAAATTAAAAAATAAATAAACAGCAAAGATTGTTTTTGGTATTGAGGATTAGCAAATTCAGATGTCTGTATGTATATTTATGCATATGTTATATGTATATTTATATTTCATATATAAATATAGTGAAAGAACGTAAATAGTATATGTAAAATATTACAAAATGTTAACCCCCTAAGGTTAAATTTCCTTAAGAAAAATTATTTTTGGTGACAAAACAGTACTTAATTTGGAGGTTTATAAAACATAAATCTAGCTATCTTACTCTTGTTTCTTTCATATAATTTAGATGTCCTTGTCATTATTTCTGAAAATCACTGAAGGTTACTTCTAGCTCTTTGTTTTTTAGAACGAGAAAGGAACTTTTTTGTTAAATTTTGTGTATAAATAATAAAGTATTTGAGGATTTACACTGGACATACAAAGGGGCATGATAGTTGCTTTCTCCTGGAGAAACTTTCACAATGATTGGGAAGACAAGACATAGACACACAAATCGAGTACCACACAGCATCTATGGAATTGAGTGACTCTGGGGATCTGGAAGTGAGTAGAAGGGCCAGTTCTTTTCTTGAAATTGGAAGGAATTTTGGAGACCTTGGTGCAGAGTCATTGAATGAATACTTCCAGTCTCCTGTCAGACCACATTTCTCTGTAATCCCTGGAATAACTTTTCTGCCCATCATAGGATATTGAGTGGATAAGAGGCAATAGCAGCAGTGTATTGTAGCGGAAGGAGCACAGGCTTGTGAGTTAACACGGCTGGATTCTGATCCTGTCTTTGCCATGTTAACTAGATGACCTTAGTGAAGGCTCGTGGCTTTTACTGTTAGGGGAAAACAAGAGCTGCCTAGCCAACTTTATATTTAGAGCACAGGGGTTTTGTCAACGTCAGATGAGAAAATAGATTTTTAATGTTGGAAATATTTCAAGTGCTATCTAAATAGAAAATACTATTTAAACATATCACTCTTGTGGACTGCTCTGTCTTATTGTACATGTCATAAAATTGTTTTTAACATAAACATGTATTAACCTCTATTATTTGACTACCCTACTGATTTTGATCTTTTAGTTCAGGGATTCTATTCCAAATGGCCTTTATCTTTGGTCCTTCAATCACTATTTACAGATTATTAATTATTATGGTCTTCTTAAAGACCACAGCAAAGTATTTGGAACCCTTTAAGAAAATCATTGGGCCACAGTGAACTGGGAGGAGGTATGTTGTAGTCCAAGACTCTCAAAAAGATCACTCTTAAACAGTAACTGAAGATCTTTATTGACTATAGTTTACTGTCCAGTAGTTCCTTTAGTGTCCTGTAGCAAATTCAGCTGCTCACTGATCCACCAGCAAAGCAGGCCCGGTGAACAGTAAAGGTGGGGGGTTGTCTGAAATAGGGGATAGCTGCTGTCAGCTCTGGCCCTTCTTACTTTGCAGGGACTTGGGCTTAGGATTGTCACATCTCTACATTTCTCAAAAGGCTGACGTGTGACTTTTCCACTAATATTTCTTACTTTTAAATATTGGCTTCTAATTAAAACACCTACTAAACGAAACAATACATCAGTGGGGCATATCCAGCTCTCAAGGCCTATTCGGAGACTTTGGTATACTTGCTTCACTATTTCTTTTTTTCTACTTTCTTTAACTTCTCAGCTCATCAACTTTCGTATCTGCCCCTTGCCTTCTGTGAGCTGGGTGGTTGGTGGTACAGGTGGGAGGGCATGCCGCTTCCATTGTGCAGGAGAATGCATTTCCAGGAAGTTTCAGAGAACTGAGCAGGTTCTCTGTTGGGGGTTTGCATGACGCTGGGGGAAACATAAGATGCCTGGAGTGTTGGCCGGGTCTAGAAGTAACGTTAGTGACAAATTGAGAGGTTTGTTGGAGGGCTGAGAGGCAAGTTTATGGGCTTGTGGTTCTGGAGTACGTGTAGCTGTTGCTCGTGCTGGAGAGGAGCTGTGCGGAGTGGAGCCGGCTGCCGCCCGAGGGAGAAGGAGGGAGAGCTGTGGAGTTGGGGATGTGTCCTTTGTCTCGCAGCCGGTGCCTGAGGGAGGAGGATGGAGACAGTTTTAG